CATTCTGTATCTGTTATTTAATTAAATTTGCTTAGAAATTCCACATTACATTGAAGATATGATTTGAAGTTGTTCTTCATTTGATTTTCTTTCACCTTTTAATTCACCAAAGTTTCTAAGCCCAAACTGCTCCATTATGCTTTCTTCTCTGAAAAGCAGTTAAATCTGTTATTTTTATTGTAACAGCCGACTCCTTTCAAATTCATTCATGCATTGAAGCAAAGGGCTGAGTATTCCACACTGACTTAAACATTGATTTGTTTTTATTAAGTGTAATGGATCTGATTAGCTATTTACAGAGGTAATCATATGGCTGCTATTGCACAGCATCTGAATACCTGCAATAGTACAAAAATTTTCACACAGGATTTCCAGGCTTTGGGGACTGTATTTCTGATTTCAGATTTAACAGCTCAGAAGCTGTATAGAAAACATACAGAAACTGTACAGAAGCTGTACAGAAAGCATCTCACACGTTCTTTCGGTACTAGGGAGAATTTTTTTTTCTCCCTTTTTTCTTTCTTGCCATTAACTTCAACATAAACTGAATTTTACTTAGAGAATTGAAGGGACTGAGCAGTGGAAGCAACCGTCTCTGTGGGGGTTCTGTGTTTTTGTGTAGCTGTGGTTATTTGATACTACCATTTCTTAGCTTCTTAAGTAGAAGCCTTAACATCCTAGATTTCCTTTTTGTTAAAAATCCTGAATTATGTCCTTAGTGGTAGTATTGAGCCAACATTTTTTCTTCAGAAGAATCCATATACATTTTGCATATTATCTTCTCTTTCTCTGGACTGATTTTGAATTGTTTTATTATTCTTACAGTTTTGGGTTTTTATCCCTAACACAAATTGGAAATTATCAATTTATGATGTTTATATGGCTTAATAAAACTCACCTTTTTTTTTACTACTACCAGAAAAATACCTCCTGACACATCAACTAATTGAAAATTAGTTTCACATGTAGGTCATTTGTTGTAAAAACTATTTCCTAATATTAAGTCCAGGTCTGTAATTCCTTACTCTACATTTGATGCTGTTTGCTATCAAAGACAGTTTAATGAGAAGAGAGCTGATAAGAATTTATGATGATCTGTGACAAATATAGCAGATTCACAGTGGTCTAGCATATTTTATGGATTTCATACAATGCATTCTGCTCTTAACTACAAAGGCTCCATTAAGCAAAAATCACCTTTAGTCTTAGGATCCATTGATACATGACAACGCAGTGGCTCTGAAGAGCATTACACACTTCTGCTACTGCTCTGCACGTTCATGTTCATGTTATAATTGGCACTGGACTGCATTCAGATATCAATTGCAGTTGACTAAAACCTATTTATATATGAGATGTTACTACAAAAGTCTGCATTGTTTTAATTAATGTGGTATTTACATACCTAGTTTTCCTAAAACAAATATTTTGTTATCTCTTTCATTTGTTTTTAAAGAGAAGTATGATATCACACCACTTTAGCCTTCTTTGATGATCAGTTGCATAGTTATAGTAATATATTGTCCTTTTTATGAGCAAAAAGGTCCTTCTTTAAAAAGGCAAATAAAACAATTAAATAGAGGGATTTAAATATATTTAATAAATCATTTTTAAAAGGATGAACACAACGAGTTAACAACTCAAAAAGTTGTTAACAATTCAAAAAGGGTAAGCACAACTTAAGTTCTGCCTCTATTTGACTTCACTTTCAGCTTGGTCATGTCTTCTGTATTCTTACTGAATTAGCACTGTGGCTTTGTTAAAATCTGTCCTGGTCAAGTCTAGAAAAGTTACTCTTCTATTTCTAATGCCAGTAAGACACTCATCATTTTCTGCTTAACTTAGCGTACAGACAGTTTTTCAGACAAAATCATTTTTCATTATATTTTATCATCTTTCATGTAAATTTTGCTCTTTCTGGTTTATATTGTTGGAGGCTGAAGTGATAGTCCTCAGCCACAGGAGAAATTTTTATTGCAGGGTGTATATAATGTAGCCAGAGAAAGGCATTCACATATTCACATGACTGTAGGGAAATTAATGTTGTTATTCTGCTGAACTGTCACTTGTTAATAATTCAAGATAGCAATAGCTGAAAAATAGCTATATAGCAGTTACACCAATCAGGTGCTCTTAATAAATAAAAATGGAAAGGACTTCACTACTGAGGCAAAATGAGGGTCACCATTGCATGGAACTAGCCACCTAGGAGCTCTAAATTAACCAGAATATTTCCTTTTTACTGTCCACAGTACATAGTCTGAATAAAGTGTGTGGGACCAGACCACTGGTATGGCACTTCCAGGGAAACGACCGCTGCCCAGGAACAGGTAATTCAGTAGCACATCAGCAATGGCTTCCCTGCCTTCTGAGGGAATTTTCACACAGGTTCCCAAAGGGCGAGAAGAGGTTACAGCATGTCAGAGCAAGCTGTGCAAGAGGTATCGGGCAGGCACAGCACTTCCTGCTGCGTTTGAAATCGTGGGGGTGTGAAGCCATGCAGTGGGGACGGGCAGTGGGTGAGGGGCAAAGCAATTCCACGTAATGAAGCCACTCTCCCACCGACTACTGGGAACGTGATGCTGCAGAGGACTAGGATGTATTTTTTTGTCTGGGAAAACTTGACAGGAAAGCAATGGCTTTTGCACTTCTGAGATAGTATTAAGTATTCTGAATTGCCTAAGAAGCACAACTACCAAGGAAAAATTTTTTAGCTGTTTTATTTTGAGCAAGCATGTACATACGTGCTACCTAGATACCTCATGATTAATTAATGTCTTGTGAGTCTGAGACTCCTTAATTAGACTAACAACTTGAAATTGCATTCAACAATGCAGGATACGGTTTATATCAGAAATGTCCATAGTAATTATTAAGAATGTAAGAGATGAACTAGATGTGGTTTAACAAAAAAATTTTCAGCTAAAGAAATTAAATAAACACTCAATGTTCCTGTGAGATGAGAAAAGCGAGGTCCTGATCACTCTCTCACTGTGTGATTTTATACAAAACTGGTCTGTCATACTAATTCAGGGATTAGTTCTTGATATTTAACCTCCCTTTTCTTCTCCACATGGTTTCAAATGATGAAATCCTCTAACAATATACCTGTGGTATTAGTGAGAACATATCTCAGATTTCTACATAGAAATAACTGCATCTCAGGCAGTGACCCCTGTATACACTTACTGAACCTTCTAGAGGAAACTCCTCTAGCACATTAACTGTCTAATAACAATTTGCTCCATACATTAATCATAATTATTTTTTTTTTCAAACAGGTTATGTTATGTGATTAAGGGCTCATGTAAGGACACAAAGAAGAATCGAAGCACCATGGCAAATGGGGGAAGCCCAAATAACTCAGTCAGTGGGACTACTGCCTGGGGGTGTGGGACACATTATGGGATGTGGGGGGAAGAGCTTTTGGGGATTTAGAAGGTCTGTGATGGGATGTTTAGAAGAGGAACCAAAGGTTTGGGGAGGGACAAGTATGAGAAAATAGAAGGATATGGGGATAAAAGGAGACAGGCACATTTACGCTCGTCTGATTGCCCCCTGCACCTCGCCAACATAGTCTGCCCCATTCTCTCACTAAACTCCCATTTCTGATTACTGTCCCTAGCGAGGGAACTCTCTGACCTGCATGTGTGCGTGTGTGTGTAGGTTTAGGTGCCAGCAACTGAGGTGGGGACCATGGGTCACAGCAGGGGCCCGTGTGTCTTTGCGTCCATGGTGGGAGGGATGGGGTCCGTGTCCGTGATCTGGGTGCGTATGGCAGGGTGTGATCACGAGCGACTATCGAGCAGGACCAGCAGCAAACGGGGTGAGAGTCCTGGGAGCCTGGTATTGAGGTGGCTGTAGGTCTGGGTCAGATACTGGAGAGATCAATGCCACAAAGTGGCTACTGGAGGGACCAGGAGGTCCAAGCCAGCTACTAGCGAGACCATGGGGTCTGGGGCTGGCTGAGACCAGTTTGCATGTCTGTGTCTGTGTATGAGGCGACTGGAGCTGAGAGGATCCAAGCGCCAGCTACTGGGTCCATGCTGTCCATGTAGGTATATATCTTCCACCAATGGACCTTTGTCCTGATCAGCCAGAGAGGGAACAGGACGAGGCCATCGCTGCCATCTGTGTGTGTGTGAGTCTTTCTGTCTGGGGTAATGTGTGTGGGTGTGTGGGTGTGTGTTTATCCTTTACTAGCAAGAGAGAAGGGCAGTTTCTGGTACCTCCTCGTTACTGTAAGGTCAGCTTTCCTAGACATCAGGTACATTGAGTACTGGGCCACAATTAGACCGTCTCAGGATTCCTGTAAAAAAAATTTACATTTTCTGTATCTTTCCTCCTGTTTATCTGTAAATATTGTTGTATATATTCAGCTGTTATTTGAACAACATTCTGTTGTCAGATGTTTTGATCCTGTCTAAGGATGGACTGCAGTTAGTGTCGAGAGAGGGATTTCTTACTGGGCACTCCACATGAGCTCAGCTGCAGTTTCAAACACACAAAGGATGCAGCTCCTCAGCTTCAGCTGAAAGGTAGGCGAACCGCACAACTCGCGGTGGTTGTGCTGCCACAGTGCAGTCCTCAATATATCACTGCGTCCCTCCTCCAGACTGAGTGGGAGTGGTGCTCAGAAGAACATGTGAGGTAATGGTCTTCTGCTGACTGAGTACGGATGATGCCTCGATACGATTTCAGTTAATGGAAATACAGTGTAGTGCTTAGGCTTTGAAGAACAAGCTACCCTGCTTACAAAGTGGGTTTATTATAAGATTCAATGAGGAGGTTCATTTCAGGAATGATGGATTAGTTTCGATAACTAGCTTGTAGAAACTAATGTGACATTTCCAGAAAAAAAATGGAAGTTTCAAAAGTTTCTTTTGATATAGAGTTAAAATCTCTCTACCAGAACTATGTGTGCAGCTTCATCAGTTTTATTTTTACTGGATGCACAATATAAAAGATCTTTCTTTAAACAATTTATTACAGTTACTATCCTCCATCAACATCATCATTAGTAATACCAAACAATTTCATGTTCCCTTAGATCCCTTCCTTTTCCTATGGACAATCTATGCCAACAGCAGCGATGTTTTTACTGTATCATGAATTCACAGTTTACAAACATAAAAATTATTCATGATACTGCTTTCAGCTTGAATCTTCCAGCCCAGAGAAATTACCACAGTGATGGGCATGAATAATCAATCAGTGGTGTATATCTTTCTCAGCTCAATATTTTTTCAGTGATCTTGTAATGGAGATGAGAAAAAATTCTGTGTGCATGTTTGTATTTATGCATTAATGGCTGAGAGTTTTAATTATTATGTATTATTTCTATTTAAGGCACCAGACATTTAATCATCTGACTACCCAGGCTCTTCCTCAGTATTCCATCAAGTTTATGAATAAACTTATGTAATGACACATGGTAAAGGACATTTCCTGACAGTCAATGACTGACTGGAGTTGCTGAGGGATAGAGGCAAATAGCTGCATAACCATCTGTAGGAAAAGGACCATACTGACTTCTCAGAATAAAATCTTTGGCTAACAGCTTACTAAATTTTCCTTTTTTTTTTTCTAATCATATTTTTTCCTAGGTGTGGTCTTCTAGAACCTCTTGGAGTATTACAGAATGAAAGCTGTATACTTTCAGACCAGTTAGCCAAATATGCTGCTTTTAGCATTTTTCACCAATAGAGAATAATGGAAGTCATTGTAACCTGTGGATCAACAACATTTTTCCAACATGTTGGCAATATACTTTTCTGTGAAGGATTTCAAAGAGTCATATGGAACACATTATCTTAAAACAAAATAGCAAGAGCTGGGCCAGGTACCTGTCTGCATATTTGTTGCCTGTATGTGCTTCTCCCTTTTGGCTTTTCAAAGATTAGAGCATACAATGTTTTAGCGGAGTCTAACATCAGTAGCTTGCCTAGCACATTGCTGTGAAAGCCATGCTTTCAGAGAAGATAAAATTAATCGTTCTTCTTTATTAAGAAGAATAAAGAAGTTGAGAATTTTCTTCTTTATTAAGAAGAATAAAGAAAGTATGAAGAATCTTCTTTGACTTCCCTTATTAGGTTCTGGACTAGCCTTGCAGAACAGTAGAAATTCAGTCTCAGTTAAGTCTGCAGAGCTGACACACATCAGCATTTGTTGTTATATCTTAAATGAAACTCAGAAGACAAAATAAATCCTGCAGAAAGCAAGGTCATGAACAGCCTCGTCAGTTTAGTTTAAAAGAATTAGGAGTTTCTGCCTTTTAGGGCAAAGGCTCAGCTCTCTTAAGGTGAAAAATTTTAATACAGAACAGTAAGTGATGTTTATTTGAAAATCATAGGGGTCCAGTCTATGTGGCTTTTTTCCTTTTTCTTTTTTCAATAAGAGTTGCCATATTAAATGGTAATTGTTGCTGACCTCTGTGTAATGTTTAGGCTGCCTTCCAGTTCCCAGCAGGAAGCTGTCTGCCAGCTGAACTGACTGTAAGGTTGACAATTAAGGCCAGTTCTGGGAGCATTTTCTGTGCTGTTGGTGCCTGCAAACTAAGAAAGAAACCATAAATTAATTTCATACCGACATAGTGAATTTTGTTCATTAATAAAGGAATAATAAAAGTATTTAGTTCATGTGAAAAAGAGTGCAGAACTTAAGAGTTTCATAAGGACTACTATGAATTTTTATCAGGGAACAGTCTGATTTGAAGTCTTGTCAGTTCTGATGCAGTATGTTTAGGGTTTTGTTCACAAGTTTCTATCTCTCTACAACATATTGTTATTAATTTTGTTTTATGTCATTTAAGTATATAATCCTGTTCCTTAACCTCTTTGTTTTTCTCTTGAAACTGATGTGTTTTCTCAACAGCAGGTTTAAATACATACACAAAAAGTTTTGGAAGTGCCTCTAATGGCAGCTGGACTCCTGAGGCTTCCTTGCATCCAGGGACACCCACACCCCAATGGAGGAAGAGGAGGCATGAGCACTCTTCCCATTGGCTGGGTAACTATTTTGCTCATGGGTGCATGAGTTAAGAGTTATGAATTAGAGAACTTGTGAGTTAGAAAGCTCATTAATTAAGTGGTGAATTCATGTGCAAAGGGGATTGAGCCCTTGTTTGCCGTGTTTTGTTTCCTTTCCTGGTGAGCTTATAAAATAATTTACAGAGTATCTTGTCCTGCAGATCTGAGAGATCCAAACAGACCGTGACCTATGTGCCTTAAATCTTTTCTGTGAATAGAAAATACTTCATTTTGCTACATATCAGAGAATCCATTGGGGAGCAATCTATATGTCACATCCATGGAGTAGTCAAGTTAACACAGTCTGATCAGTGTCACTGTAATTAATGTGAAAGTAATTCAGCGTGCAGTACCAGGCTGCACTCCTGGTAGGAAGAGAACCACTTGGGAAAAAGCAAAGCCAGAGAACATGACACTCTGCTGGCACTATGTTTTGCATGTGAAAATTCAGCAAGCTTTGAAGGTAAATGGGAGCCGTCATGCAGCAAAGGGATGCCCAGGGGCCTTTTGAGCTGGCTTGGCCAGGAGACCCTCGGAAGCGGCAGGGAAACACTGGCTTCCACCATGGTTTTTCCCTGAAAATCGGTGTATTGCCCATACTTCTGCAAAAACCACTCATAAAGGCTTCTTCAAGAAATCTCTTCTCCACTGGATCCTTCATGAGTGTCAGAATGCTTTGGCCACAGACTTTAGACATACACTTGCATAACCTTTGCTATTTAGGGCCATACTTTGGTACTTCATCACCACACTAAACAATGTGAGATACTGTTTTTAGGGGATTTGGTACTGGTTTTGCTGCAAGAATACATTTGAATCTGGCTTCATCATTTTATACCAATGAGTAAAAATTTTCCTGTATCAGTTCCTATACTAGCTGGCCTATAACTACAAATAGGTTTCTTACAAGTCCATAGATACTTATCCATGTCATTTTTGGATTCCCAACACAGTGGTACCTTTATGTGTTACAAGTAGTCCTTCACATGACTACCATACAAAAAAATTCAGTGAAAATCTGTAGGATTCAGGTGGATTTAGCTGCTTTGCTGATTAGTGTGTTCTAGTTATTTTTGGTTATATTCACTGAGTGCACTATTTAAAGATTTCAAAATTTTTATTTAAAAATATTTGAATTTATTAATCATACTGGAAAATCATAGTTCCTAGTAATATACACCAGCCATTCCTGAATGCCATCAGATTATTTTTGTAATGTTTCAGGGTCAAAACTCTTTTAGAAACATTACTTCATATCTCCTAATGAAATACAGTGCTCGCTGTAGCAAACTGAATTTGTCAGCATTTATTTATTTTAACTTTGTTTACTTTTTTGATTAGGAACATGTTATTCTTCAATCATTTTTGCAGTAATGTTATTTATCTCAGCACAAAATTCCCACACAAAGAGAAATCACCCTACAAAAGTCTACAAAACAATCTGTCAATATAGTCATGTGTTACAAAAAAAAGGTAAAATACTGGAAGTTAATTTCAAAGCCACATAGAATGTTTCTGGTTACAAGTATTAATCAGATTCATGCAGTTATTTAAGCCAACAAACATAATCAGACCTGCTTCTCAAATTAATTGCATCCAGATTCATAGTAGCCCTTAGAAAATAATTTTTTATTCTTGCACTAAAAGTGAACATTTTTCAGTTGATCTTATCCTAGAAGAATATAGGATAGTATTGAAAGTCTCAGTTCTCAGGAGTCATCCTTTCTAACCCCCAAACATTTATAAACAGGAAAATTTGCAGATACAAATTAAGCATTCCAATTCTCTGTATTCTTATAACTGCTCAATGTTAACTACAGGTAGCTTCAACAGGAGCTTTGCACGTAAATCTCCTGTGCATAAGTGGAAAAACAGATGAGTTTCCTGCAAGTACTTAATTATTTGTTATATCTCTTGAGAATCCATTTCCTTAGAATGACACTTGTGACTGATTCACCAAGCCAGACTTATTCATATTAATAAGTTTGAAAAAATAATCTTTTATTTGAATATATGCATTTCAGATTACCAAATAAAGGATTAGTCACCATTTTCATCTTCAGGAAAAACCATTTATAGTCAAATCAAGTATGGATGAGCTAGTCCTGAGCAGACTTTTATTTTCCTCTTCAGATTTCTGACAGTCTGGCAATTCTGATAAAATATCCTTACATTTCTTAAAGTATACTTTGCTCTTTTAATTATGCAATAGTGTTATGAATAATGAGAAACAAGTTGTGAGATATAATCTGTATACACTAGGGGCTCAAGAAAACTTGTAAGCAGACTGATTTTTAAATATTTTTACCTTTAAAAAATCTACTTTGGTGGGGGTATAGTAACATCTGATTATTTCAGCCAAGTATTTGCTTTATTAATGTCTTCTTGAACTTCCCATAGCTTGAAGTGTCTCTCCATGATTCCAAGCCACACAACAGAAATTGTTGATAGAAGTTAATGAACTCATTTACTATTGGTTTTTACTCAGCATTACCATGGAACAGTTTTCACCAAAAATTGAACGGTTTTCACCAGAAATGAAATGGTTTTCACCAAAAATTAACCTTACTTCACCTCCCAGTGGCGGGGTTTTATTGCTGCGATGACTGCCCTCTGGCCAGAGGTTGGGACGTAGGAACCGAGGCTGGTGCTACAGAAGCCGTGCGGCACAGCCCGGCTGGGGAGAGCCAGGAGCCCTCAGTGCCCGGCAACGGTCCCCCCCAACGGTCCCCCCCAACGGCCCCCCAACGGCCCCCCAACGGCCGCCGCTCGTGGCCAAGGGCCCGGCCCCAGCTGGCCCGCTGGCTCCCAGTTGGAGGTAATGGCCAGGTCAGCAGCCACGGGGGCAGTGAGCAGAGCCAGAGGGGGGTCCAGCCAGAAAGGAAACTTGCATGGTGGATACCTAAACATAGAAACATTAAAGCTGTTGTCTCTAGTGTATAAGTAGGTCTTCTCTTTAGTTATGGCTGAGTTTAGCTTAGCTTTCCACCTTTCCTGTGTTTAGAGGGCTCCAATGTGATGAGAGGGGGTGGAAAGAAGTTGACCTCACCTGTTAAAGCCACTGAACTCTTTATGGTAGTAAGAAAGCAAAATCGACCCTGAAGAGTCTCAGGTTATGTGATACTATAAGCAATAAAATTAATTACCAGTTGAGGGTTACTAAAGCTATGTAACTTCTGGTTCAAGGAGGGTCTCAGGGCTGGTTGGTGGCAGCATTGCTGTATGAATAACATAGTGCTTGTGGGCTGTCTTTGAGCTTGTGTCGCGGGCCCCTGTTAGAAAAAGCCAAGCAGTTAAGACAGGTTTTTGGTTTGTGTCTTGAAAATGTATCATAGGTCAGCTGTAAAGCCATTAAATAGTTTCTTACAACTGCTGAGGGAGAAGATAACACTGATAAGTCCTGGATATCCTGTCCCACTTCATTACAGCACCAAATGTGCATGTTTTCATTTACTAAGGTATCTACAACACAGGTAGACACTAACAAATGATGCATTTTTCAAGCAGATATGCATTTTATTAGTTTCTCAACATTTTTTGCTGAGAATTGAAAAGATCGACTATTTCAACTGACCATGAGCTGGATTTCAAGTCCTTATATTATCTGATCATTTGAGTCCTTAATAAATTATTATATTTTATACTTTGACTAATACATTTTGATCCTTGTGCCAAAACAAAAGGCAGTTTTTAATTTTGTTTCTGTTCAAGAAAAATGAATAGTGTCTTCAGTCTTCTTCAGTTTTCCTTTGTTTTTAGCTCTCCCATCTTGCTATGTTCTAAAAGTTAATGAAATGAATAGGTCATAGTCATCCCATCTATTTTCCTCAATGATATTACACCTCAAGCTTTTACAGGAGGAGCTTGGAGGTGTAGCTGGAAGAGGGCCTATCTAGATCCATGGGATTAGATTCTTAGAATACATGTGAGATATTGCTGTTAGAGGTACTGATTACTTCTGCATGGCTCTTGCTAGTATAGCTGCTTCTGTATCAAAAAATATTTTGCCTATATAGCATTATTAGTATATATGCCACTTCAAGGCATGATTTCAGTCTTTTTGGATGTGGATGTTATGGATAAAGAGTTCATTGCTACTCAGTTGAAGCTTACCACTTCCACAGTTGAGCTAACTTTGCCTGTGAACTGCCCTGATCAATTCTGGTGCACAGTTAGTTGTTGCATTGGTTTGAACCACCTGTTCTGCACTAAATAGATTGAGGAACCTGAAGGTGATGTCCAAAAGCGTACTGATTCTGGGAATATTAGCTACTACTTGAGTGGTAAAAAGTGGTGAGGAGAGAGCATCAATAAAGTAATACCACAAGAAGGGGGAAAGTGCCACTTCTCAACATAGGACGCTTTTATGTTTCCAAAAAAGTAAGGTTACCCAGTTTTCAGAAGTAGATTAAACTTCCACATTAATATTAGATCAGAATTCAGCAAACCTCTTCAGCACATGATAAAATGTAAGGTACGTTCATGTTTTACCATTTTGCATTTCATCTTTAATTTAATGAGCACAGTGATCTGCTACCACTGTGGATACAGCTAGATCTAAAGAAGATTGTCTGGCTTCAGAAGAGATCTCAGCCACTGGGATAAGACAAGTCCTCCTTCCTTCCATTTCCTAATTTTAAGATCAACTGAGTGACTTGAGGCCTGATGCACAAGGTTATTTATAGATCCTAGAGAAAAGGGAGAAAAAAACCTGAGCTCAAGGGATCAGCTACGCTTGCAGCCTCGTAAAAATATGTTCTGCTGTTAAATTGCCTTAACTCCCACTGGAGTAAGCAAGCCTGCCTCATTGACTTGTTACACCGAGTTTCAAAATCCCGAAAGAGACTATAGCCAATGATTAAGCCTCTTGCAATTTGAATGTGAAGCAAGGCAAGATCTTTCTATTTCACCTGTGTCATGCACCTTCTCTTATGTAATATGCCATAGCAACTAACACTTCAAGTGGCATTTGGAATTTGTCTGAAGATCTGGATAAATAACAAGAAAAAAATAAGAATGTATGGTGTCTATATTTCATTAACACTGTTTATAAACTCTGGTGCCGGGGTTTAAATATTGTTGAATTGTGATTTGGGCTTTCATCCATTTTTTAATCTACAGTTCTGGAATTCTTTGCAGATCCCTGGAGGTGTTTAAAAGACGTGTAGGTGTGGCACTTAGGGACATGGTTTAGTGGTGGACTTGGCAGCACTAGGTTAGTAGTTGGACTTAATGATCTTAAGGGTCTTTTCCAACCTAAATGATTCGATGATTCTATGATTTATTCTTCTATGCACTCTATTTGTTTAGATCACTGAAAATGCAATATGCAACATAATTTCACTGGTGCTTCTTGAATTTAAGTATTTGGCCTAAATAGTTCACAAGATTTATAATGGGATGCAAATAAAGCATCTTTTTCTGGATGGTGGCCATTGGGACATCAGTCACTTTTTTGGTGGGAAATAAGAGCTTTTAATTCTGGGAGATACAGGCTATAAGATAATAACATATGAAATGAAGATGATGAAGGAAATACATGTCCTTTTCAGACTGCTTTCTCCTAGTATATATCTGTCTTGTGTCCATCGCAAGGGCCAAATAAGTAGAAGGATAAAATTGCTTTTCCTTGACCCTTTTAAGCAGATGTTGGTGTAGAGCAGCATTTACAAGTGGTGAACACAGAACAGACTGGTTTTGTGCAGTGAACTAGCATGTGTTGAGCCAGATCCTACCCTTAATTTTGCAGATGTTGGTGTACAGTAATCTATTTCAATTTAAATTTGATTTTATACATATATTTGCAGTTCGTAATTAACTGTTACAAATCAGCTTCTGGAGATTGAGACAACAGTCAAAATTTATAATACTTAAGAGTTTTAACACATTACATATTATCACATCTGGGCTTTGATGATGCTATGATTCTGAGGCATGTGAGGGAATGGAGAAGCAGGACTTAACTGGGAAAATAAACTACTATGATATCTGAGACTTGCAAGTCAGGAATGAAGAATTCTGCTCTGTCCTGGTTTTGAATGCTTTTTTTACTTTGTATTAATATCATCCAGGTTAGAAAGTACAATGGTCTTTTTTGAACTAGATTTTTTTAGATTACTATTTCTGGCTGGATTTAGCCAGAATATGTTTTCAGACACTTTTAAACTTTTCATATATACGCTATATAGTATATGATTCTTTAAAAATTCAGAAATTCTTTTTTTTTTTCTTGTAGATATCCGTGTAAAAATGTACATTCCTCTTTTATCTAAATTATGATTAATGCATTAAATGTGTTAGCCTTTATACTTCTACATTATTCCTTTTTCAAAGCAAATAATGTTTAATTTGCCACTTACTGTACAATTAACTGGTTTTAATTTGTCAACTGTGTGAGCTTTCAGTTCCAACAGTGCAGGTATCCAAATACCATATAGCAAATATCCAAACACCACCTGATTTCCAATAAGTCATGCAGACCTTCTCAAGTATGAAGTTCACTCTGAGGGTATAGTGGGGAGACAGTCATTGCTGCAGATTTAATTCAATAGTTACTTTCTTACCATTAGGCTGAAGAATACGTACCCCAGATGGATGAGCAAAACGAAATACTGAAAGAAAAATTAATATCTCGTCTCTGGTTTGAAGCGGAGAGGGCAGAGGTACTGCTTGTCATAGAAGGCAGGTATATTGTATGTGAACCAGCTGACAGCAGCGAAAGAGGCAACAGTGAACTGGTGAGAATGTGCATGATTTTAAACTAGACTATGTGTTAATACTTTAATTGTGAAGTAATATCCTCCTAGCTATAGTTCCATTATACTAAAAGTCTGACTTAGAGTTTACTGCTACAATTGCATATTGTCTTAAACTAGAGTTAAATACAAAAGCATGCATGTTCCTGAATCCTTTCTAAATCTGGGTGCCCAAAAGCCCAAATTTAAATCTTTAGAAATGCTGGTCAGTTGCTGCTAATCCTGGAGTCAGGGTTAACTTGTGCACCCACAAATTGAAGGCCTCCAGCCTGAGCCGGGCCTGGGCAGCTGCAGCGGTTGGAAGTGTGACCTTGCTGAGCTGGTGGTAGAGGTGTCTTAAGAGGGGTCCAAAATCAAAATATAAATGGACTTCTAGTACAATATAGGGGCTTGTAGAGACTCTCTGGGAGTTTGAATCTGTGTTAGAGTAATTTTTGCAAAACTGATTTTGTTTGCCAGTGCAGCTTTGGGGATATTGGGATGCTTTGTAAGACTGAAAAAAGTTATGTTAACCTAATGTGTAGGAGGCGTTCTTTGTTTGATAACCTTGGTATACATGGGATAATCCCAGGTTTACAGTATTTTTATGTACTTTTTTTTTTTTTTAATCTGGCTTCTTCTTGGGAAAATGTTCTATGAATACATGTTGATTACACATTTAGTGCCTGTGCAGTCTTGGGAGTGAAAGTCTTCTTCCTAGGAACCTTGTAACAAAAACTTCAGAGGTTGCCATTTATTGTGAAGCATTTTCCTGGATGAAGTATTTGATTCTGAGTATCAACTAAAATATGGGAATTTGGAAGAAAAGTGTTTTTGCTTAAAACCCAACTACAGTCCTGTTACTGTTGGTGGAATCTCCTTAATTTGTTATAACCCACTGCCCTCTGTCTCTCCAGAGCAGAGTACAACGGAGAGCCTCACATACCAGTAAACTGTATCTTCCAAATACGAGGCAGAGACATTACATTCTGGTTTATATTATTTTAGTTTTTTCTTATCCAGTGTAAACTGTTTATTCTCATAACTCATATCAGGTAGCAAAGTTCTATTTTATGATGCTAACTTGAATAACCAAAATCAGACCTTTACATTTTATATATGTGAATCTCTTATGCCCTCTATAAATCCATGTAAATTAATCTAATTTACATGATTGATAGAAGTATTTTCATTTAGTTAGTGTTTGGCTCAGGTATCCTGAAAAACAATGATTTGTTGTTCTAAATTTAGAATTTCTTTTTCTGAAGGTTTTTAACTATTTAGGCTTAGATTGATGGAAACAGGAAAAAACAATTTTATAATCCACATGAAAATATTAGACATTAATTTTAGTTCTGTAAGCACCATTATTTTTAAGTCATTTATCAAGATTCTTTTTAAAAGTAAAACGTAAAATGCTGTATATCTTAAATCAGAAAAATTCTGTAATTAAAACTGAGTTAATCCATCAGTTCATTGAAAATGTTTTCCATACCTGTTAAATGCCTTCTCTGATTTTTTTTTAGATTGTAATATATAATCACTCAATAGTTATTAATATTAATGTATTTCTCTGCCCTTTGTTCCCAGTCATCATCAGTAGAGAAAAAATACCCTATTCTTCGCACAGCATTTTACAGACCAAGAACAGAAAGGAAACACAAAGCAACAACCAAAGAGGAAGGAGAATGTTTTGGAAATATGTATGTGAAATTATATTTCTTTATTAAAACTTTTTATTCTCTGCTACTTAAAATTTGAAACAGCAATGGATGTCTTCTAACTGAATTATTTGACTACTTCCCTGCAAATTCTGTGAAGTTTGGATTGATGCTCCAGCATAAACTTTATAATTTTCACCCATTGCAGTAGTGTCTGATCTGGTTTATATCATTGAAAATCTGGAGAAGTGCTAGTGGAGTCATTGCAACCAGAATAGTCTAGTCAATGGGGAATTATATACTATATGAACCTGTGAAAACGTATTCCTATGTACTGTGTGACTTTCACCTGTGTAAAAGAAGAGAAGTATTAGTGTTTTTCAAATTTAATGATAGAATATAATGACTGAGTTGACTTAATTGTTTATTGTCCTGAAGTGAAACTAAACAAGTGTTCATTTTGCTCTCAAATACTGTATCAAAAACCTCTGAAGTGGCATGACAAGGTGAAGGGATGACATATACTTGCTAAGAACTGAAGGTTCAGAAAAATTGCTGCAGTGGGATCAGTGAAGTCCAGGATTCTGTCTCTAACATCAGCAGGAGTAGGGGCTGTTTAGGGAGACCACACAGGCCTCACTGACTGCTTTATGCAGTACAATTCCCTTCTACTCCCTTAGTATCCATAATATTTGGATTATGAACATTTGAGGCTGTAGCACTGCCATGTATCTGTTTATGAACCTATTAACCATGAACTTGTCTTCTCCCTTTTTGAACTTCCTCATACAGTCATCCTTCACAGATACCTGTGGCAGAAAGCTCTAAAAGATCGTAATCCCCAATATTCTGGCACAGTCCATTTTTTGGTTTCCTTTCCCTTTCATGCAGGTGATGATGAAGGAAAATAGTTTTCTGAGACTGATGAGATAAGAATGCCTTCCTCCAGGCAAACCTTCATACCTGAATTTTGTAGACTGGATTAAAACCACACCTGGGGTATTTTAGCTTAAATTCCTTCTATTAAAAAAAAAAAAAAAAAAAAAAAAAAAAGAAGAAGAAGAAGAAAAAGTTTGTCTATCAGTTTCTTCTCAATGGATTTTGAACTAATTGATCTCTTGCATCTAAAGTTATATGAGAGATGTAAACATCTGGAGAATGGGAACAACTTCTCAGTTTGTGAAAAATAAGGGTTTATGTAATGGAACCTCAGTTTTTATCAGTCCTGAGAAAGGCAGAATGGTCTCCATCCCAGATATTGGAAGTATCTGACCACTGAGGAACTGCATTCTGGTTTGTATCATCAGCCACAATACATGCTGCTAATTGCCTAGTTTAATTAGTAAGTGATGTGAGAGAAAGCTGAGGGGAGAAATCCAAGCATGAAAATTGAAGATGGAAATATTTCTGGGGAGTGATTAGGGAGTATTAAAGCACAGATTAGGAAACTGCCAGTCTTCATTAGTTTCAGTGCTCACAGTACAACTTATTTTGTATTTGTGTATTTTGCACAGATAAATTTTTGGCTTTGCACATTTGTCTTCAGGAAAGCACGTAAGTTCTGCTACTAGTGTACCGGGGGCTGCTAACAGATTTCTGTCTTATCCTTCGCTTACTGGGTTTGACTTTGTCAGCACTTTATCATTCTTCAGTCAACAGAGGAATCTTTTTTGGGACTGCCATTTGCTACATGATGTTTCACTTTTTTTTTGCTCTCACACCTCTTTTCAGAAGGGAAAACTCCTCTTAGCACAGAACTGTCCACACTGGCTGTACCATCCAGTTCAGTACAGTCTATTTCTCCACTCCTTTTTTAGATTTTTCTGACAAGTTTCTTTAAGAAGTCTTCTCTGTTCTAACAGTGCGACTGTGAAGAAAGGACTCTATAACAGTTAGCTCCTAGTCCCAAAAATAAAGGATGTCTTTATATCTTCTGGTGGAGGAAGATCAAGTCTCCATTCATACACTCAAGTACCACCATAATCCTTCTTTTCAGACGAGGAATTGGTGTGCACCCCTTATCTTTTGGAATAAATATTCATATTTGCTTGCATGTTATCACACAGAAAATGTAATTCACAGTGAACAAGGGCCATTACTGAGGAAGATTCTACTAATCTACTGATCTAGGTAAGATGACAGCAGACCAGCACAGTGCAGTCCTAGCTAGAGAAGAGATTAGTTTAAAGAAAAAAAATGTTTCTTCCTATCAGGTAGCAGAGGACAGCTGCATAATCTTGACCCAGGGAAGGGTAAAGATGCAAAAATCAAACTTTATTCTAGTACAAAGAATGTAATTTATAGGACCATGTCAGAGTTTGGCCAATTTACACTTCCTCCAAGAGTTCCAGATCTGACTGGACATTGGAATCTCTCAGTGTGACAGTCTGATGAGGGAGATAAGAATTTACCTGTCTATTCTGGGCCATGTTGTCTCCTGCACCTATGTATAATTGCATGACAGATGTGCCTCAGATATGTGCGATGCAGTGACTGCAGTCTCTTCCAGATAACTAGTAAACTTATTTATACCTAGATAATCATTGTATATGGCTATACAGATGGTAATCACTCCTCTGTTATCAGGTCTCTTCTCACTTTCTCCTACCTTTCAGGGAAGTGGCTGCTGTTCTTGTTCTTTCTGATTAGTTCCTGAACTACCACATGCACATTCATGCACTGCTTCAAGGTTCAAGATCTCTAGAAGAGGCACACTGAGAATGCTTATGTTATGTCTAGTCAAGATTGCTGTTATATTGCAAAGCTGCTCTTTTTGTCAAAGACCTGAAATCAGTCTTCAAAGGAACAGGCTGCTGTTGAAGTGCTTGCCCACAGCAAAGTGTGCACGTACCAGAAGAAAGAAATTAGGGTGGACGAGTACCAGAAGAAAGAACTTCTGGAATAAAGTAACTTCTTTGAGATGTATTTTTCGTCACTCTGTCCTTCCTTTTAGTAGTTTGTATTATGGAAATCTGTCCTGGAAGAGAAACTTCAAATCTTGTGTATTGATATTTTGTGCTCTTGTGAGAAGTGTGTACATAGTGTGGCTGCTGCTAAAGAAAGAAGTTCTGGCACATAGATTTTAGACAGTTTCAGCTGCTCCAAGTGATTCTTCTTTGATGCCATTGCCACGTCAATATAATCTACATTATGAATTAGCCTTTTCAGTCTGAATTATATTGCCTGAATTTTTTACAGCATATCCACAATGGAGTTGGACCAACGGTCAGTTGAAGCATAATTATCTTAGTTCATTTTCCCACCACTGTTCCTGTGATTTTTTTTTGGTTGTTACTGAAGATGTAATTGGCTAAATGAGAGCAAGCTGCACATGAAATCATTACTTCCTTCATGGTTTTTATATATTTTTTTTTCTGTCCTGACAAGTGAACTTAGTCGGAACTTCACAGATTAGAAATATCTAAACTGTGCATGCTGTAGTGAATGTGGAAGCTAAGTCACCCATGAGATGTGTAAGAAGCTGGTGTAGCTGACTCTTCCCTGTCTTTTTTTTTTTTTCATTTTAACTGATGATAGTTATTTTTCTTAAGTTTTCATACAGGCAGGTTAATGTAGTGCATATACTTTTCAGAGATCTCTAGCTTGAATTGCTTTTTCATGCATATTGAAAGTACTTAAGAGATTTTTCAGACTGGTTTACAAATCTAAGAATGAACTTGAAAAAAACCCAATATAATACAAATCCTGTATTACAGGATTCTTATTTTTATGCTTTCTCTAGGAAATAATTTAAAAATGCAACTTATTATCTTCTTTCTGCTTTCATAGTAGATACCATGATGTTGGAATTACTAAGGATGAGAGCAAATTATAGCACTGATTTTTTTGAGTATTATTTTCTTAGTTGTGTTTCCCATAGCTTAAACTTAGTTTAATCTTGAAGCTCTCTAACCTTTGAGGTAAATCAAAATAATGATCAGGTTTTATGTAATATTGCTTCTGATGCCTATAGTGTCAGAGCACAAGACATAGGGCTGTAATTTTAATTTGATTTCGTTCCCCACCCTCACCGTATGTTTTATTCATCATGGGTAAAGCTCTCATTCTCTGTCATAGGACAGCTGTATCTTAATCATAAATGCAAACCATTATGCAAGTCATATTTTAGTGATTGTTCTGTTTTGCCTGTATGACTGCATCTTCAGGTTTTTTTCTAAAAGAGCATATTGTTCAATTTTAGACTCCCAAGAATACATAGGGAGGGAAGAGAAGAATCTGTTTGTCAGCCTACTGGCACGTCAGAGCCTGAGACAATGCAGTTAAAAAGCAGCATAACAAAACCAGCATCCCTAGTATCAAAGAGTGAGAATCTGAAAAAGACACTTCCCACAACTTCTGCTTGCAAAGGAGTTCAGCGTGGTTTTGACATACCACCTTCATCTTCTGTACATGGTAAAGTACCTAAAATGACAAAAAGTGAGGAAATAGAAGATATTAATTGCTTTCTTACTTCATCATTGTAACAGTTCTTTTGAAACAGTTGTACATATTCAGTGTCCTCCAGTGCATTTCTAACAGAGTACTGTAAATCACAAGCATTCCAGTTTTTACTTCAAACGTGGTCTGATCATTTTCTGGTTTTCTGCCAAAAATAGCAGACTTGCTGGGGTTCTAATACTTGGTGAGATGTAATATTGCAGTAGGCAGCTGTAGCATGAACATACACTCTATCTTCTCTAAAACCCTTAGGAGGGAATGCTCTTCTTTCTCTGGGCATTGCGGGGTTGCAAAAGGCACTTTCATTGTAGGCGGTGAATACATAAAAAGACTCCTACACAACTTCATATCTTTTAGAAAACAAAAGGAAAAAAATAGAATAGTGTAGATGTTACACTGACTTTAACTCAGTATACCAACTGCAAAGTGCGTAAGAGTATGCATTTATGCTGGTTTTCAAAAACTTCCAGTTATCCATACTTCTTTTCTGTATAGGTTTACCTGTTCAAAGTTTCTTTCAGTGAGAAGGCTGTGTAATGGGTCCTGAATATGATTTTTCCAGCAAATGTTAATGAAAACTAAATATATGTTTGTCTTTCCTATTGTTCTCCAAACAACTTGGGTTTTTTTGAAGTGTGAAGTGGGATCATCTCTCTAAAATACAAAATCATAATTCACGGAAGTTGTATGTATGGGCAAATGGAACTACTCACAAAGACTTGGTGGGCTTGTGATCACAATTCCTGCTCTTTCAAAGTCACTCCAAGTTTCAAACTGACTTCAACAGATCAAAATTCAAGCAGGTCTGCAAGATGGAGTTGATTTACATCAGTAATTTTTGGACTAGATTTTGAATGAAACTTGCAGAAAACATTTTTGAATCAATTGTGTCCTAGAAGTCTTCAGCACGTTAAAAATTAAAATTGAGAAACTGTGCCTTGTTAAACAAGGCATTGAAGTGTAAGTCTGTACTGGATCTGCCTGGGATAGAGTTAACTTTATTTGAAGTAGTTCATATGCTGCTGTGCTTTATGTTTGTGGCTAGAATAGTGTTGATAAGGCACCAATATTTTGTCTACTGCTGAACAGTGCTGCTTTCCTGGTGTGCAGCCTTTCTCTCTTTCAGAATGGATGAAGAAGTTTCCTAGTGATAAAGAAGGCCAAACAAATGACAAAAGTAAAAAATAATGTTATCCTCTTTACCTCATGGAATACACAGGAAACAAGTATCACATTTCTTATCCAACCATACTGAAGTAACTGATGTCAACTGATGATGTGAATACAAGTTTTAATGTCAACAAAAAGAAACAGCAGCTTGTGCTTGTGTATGTCTCTATATACAAATATTAAAACCATTAGAATGCATTTGGGGACATTGTAGACATTGCAGAAATGTAAACTTGTAGGAAGGTTAAATTAGAAAATAATTGTGCATAACGATCTGCTTTAAATGACTAGAATTTTCCTTTTTTTATGTGTTGTTTGCAGATAATATTAGAAAGACTGAAATGCAAACAGATGTTTTGGAACCAAGTTGCCATAGAAAGACCTGTGAGCAACTAAAAGTTGAAAGATCTTCTAAAAAGCCTTTGAGACCCAAAGTTCATTTTTATGATAGAACAGGTACGTAAATTGTAACATTGGATGGGAAGAATATGCTGTTAATTATGCCTGTACAGCCAGTGAATTTACTTCAGATTACATTGATATAACGGAGAATATACTCAACTGCCACTGACTTTCTTCATCCCTCTCCTGCCTTTAGAGTGCATGTGTAGGAGAAAGCTGACACAGCTGTAAATCAGAGAGTACTGTCATTTTAAACCTTATTTCCAAGACTAACAACTTTACCCTCTGTATTCACCTTCTGATGTTTTTTTTCCACCTGATCTCAGAGCAGAATTCCAGACAACATTTTAATTTTTATTTTAAAGTTGTTTATATTGTATAGGTAGCTACAGTAAGTTTTATTTTACTCAGAATATTTGTAAAGAGTAGTCACGTTTTCCTATTTATCTTCCAGGATTAGAGTTGGGAAAAATAGATTTTGATCGTTATTTCTCCGTTAAAAATACCTGTTGCTATTTCTGAAAACTGGGAGGAACTGATAACATAACTGGATGTCCTGGTTGGTGCTGGCCTAGAGCTCCCGTTGGTCTGGCAGCGGGAGGAGCTGCAGCCCCCTGAGACCCCGGGGGCTCCCCAGGTCCCGGTGCCCTCACCTGTGTGCGGGGGCGGGGGGAGCACAGCTGGAGGGCTGGGCCCGGATTGGCCGATAGTCCATGTCACGTGTCCTTGTGCTCACTATATAAAGGCAGGAGTGGGCGGGGCGGGGCTCTCACTTCCGGGAGTGTGACCGCGTGGCCTTTGTGTTGGGGGTTGCGGCCGGGAGCAGGCGGGTGTCGGTCGGTCAGCGGGAGGTGAGCAGCTGTGTTGTACGTTACCCGCTGATCCTGCTGTCACCGTATTGTTCTGTCACTGTTATTAAACTGTTTTTATCTCCACCCGCGAGTCTCCCTTTGCCCCTCCGATTCCCTCCCCGTTCCCGAGTGGGGGGAGGGTGGGTGAGCGACTGCGGGGCGTTTAGATGCTGAGTAGGCTCAAACCACAACACTGGATTTCAATTTTTAATTTTTTTTTGCGAATTTTTTACTATGTACATTTTAATAGGAATTAAAAACCGTGGGGAAAAAAAAATTTTGTTTTCCAGGACTTCTCAAATTGTTTTTCATAATGTTGCAGAGTCTTTTGTTCAGCTAGAGTGTTCTTCTTCCATATAGGACTAGAGTGGTATGATTAGTGGGGTAGGATGTCTCCATGTAAAAAGAAATTTCTTCTCAATATTATAAAGAAAATTGTTATTCTTTTCTTTTCACCATTCTTTTTGCTGAGATTTTGCTCTTTAGGAGCCCTTTCTCATTCTTCCAGACTTTTTAGCATTTGAAAAGGTCTTTGAGTAGTAAATCCTGTTTTTACTAGTGAGTACTTTGAATTTTGCTGTGTAAACTACAACCAAATCAGTGTAAAATCATGAAACTGAAATTATTTTGAAGTCAGTTGAACCACTGTCCTTCAACTGCAGCAAAACAAATTTGGAATATCTGATGGCTTGTTATCTTTTTGGAGAAAGACTTTCTAAGACACATTTTCAATGTCTTCCAACTCAGTCTGAGTAACAATAGATTAATCCTACACACTTGTTAAGGCTTATGCAATGAAACTAAAGAATGAATGGCTGACTGGCTTGTATAATAAATCTAAAGATTTTATGTTTAAGGGAAAGAAAGCAACACTTTTTTTTTCCTTTTCTTGATGTACCAGAACCAATTGATGATGATGTTATAATGCATATTTTGAGGCTTCGAGGCAAACTTGGGTGGCAAACAGAGTTACCATCACGTGAATGGTTAGCCAGAGAGGCTGATGTGGCCGGACTTCAGAAGTTAGCACTTACGGTGAGTTTTACTTTTCCTTCTCCACATCCTGTGCAATTACACATTCTAGAAACCATGTTGGTTATAAATCTAAAATACTTATTTCCTGAAAGCTTTTACCTCTGAGAAAGGGTAGATTTGTTCTTAAAATCAATAAAATGTTTAAAGAGAATAAACTATTAGAAATTTAATTATCAGGCTTGAATTCTAATTCATAAAAATAGGAAGTGGAAGACAAATTACACTTTGCAGTGATCAGAGCCATAGCAGAGTTCTGGGAGAAGATGATGCCTACAATTATTCTGGGAGTGGTACCTAGAATTATTTATTTCATCTCTGGGTGCCTAGCAATCACTTAAACTTAGTGCTAAGCCAGTGCTCCCCATAGAAAAGCTATTCTGGCACTAAGCTGAATTGTGATCACATCTGTCCTGATCAGACATGCCAAGTATGAGGCCAGTATTTGTTGTGAGTGGTCCTGGGATGTTTGCTCTTGATGTAGCCAAATGGGATGTTGCTGGTGTCCTCTTACTAGCTTAGTGCATTCAATGACAGACAGACACATATCTGCTTTAATTACAAACAAACAAACAAAAAAAAGGCAATACAGAAAAAAAAAATCAGGTTTCTTTCAATGTGCAATGTGAAACATTTTAGATGCACAATAAAATTATATTCTATGTTATATTTTGCCCCTTGGGAGTTTTGATTTCAGACATGGCTGCCAAATTTTTAAGAAGCATTACAGTTGTCCACAACACTAAAATTTCTTCCAGCTATAATGACATATTTTCAAAACAACTAGGTATCACTGATATTTGCAGTCTTTAACTGTATAGGTGTTTGCTACTAAAGAGCTTTATGGTGTTTTTTTTTTTTTAATCTTAACAATTCTTACTAGTATTTTTATAGATGGAGAAACTTAACTGCTAAAAAGTTTGTTCAGGTTCAGATAAAAAGTTTGTAACATTAATAGGGTTATATGAGACTATTTTCTCAACTAGAAATAGTAATATTTAACTAGCTGTTGGTGAAACTGAAAAGTAATTATTTAGAGTGGGAATAATATAATAGAATAACTTTCTAGTCAATTCAGTATTACCACTAAGTATCTTATCAGAACATTTGGGTACTTTTTTACTTTTTTTCTTGTAGTAGAATATATAGGTATATAACTCATAATGATAAAAAATAAATTACATATATACATGTAAATAATTTCCTCTTTTGACAGAAACCTTTACTGCTGAAAGATAGTGGGGAATATATATATTGTCTTCAACGAAACAGGAGGAACTTTAAAGCTCCCTACAACCCATACGATTTACAGGCTGTCTCTGCGAATACAGCTATGCAAAACAAAGAATATTGGACTGTTACAGCTTCATTTGTGTCTAAGGTAGTATGTTGTACAACACACAGAACGATGTGAACCCAGAGATTTCCACCGGAAGAACATTTTGCTTTTCACTTATTATCATGTTGTATTCACATTGCAATTATGTTACTTTCTTTGCTTAAGAGATACTGGTCCCTCCTGGAGACAAGTCCTCTGTTGCCTTTGAGCTGAAGGTAGCTCATCCTTTTGCTGAGGCATGTGTTTAGATCTTGAACTATGGTATAGCTCATGACTAGGCGTATCAGATGGGCAACTGAAAACTTAGCACCCAGTAATCCACTAACCATCTGCATTTCTGGGCATAGTAATGCAGGACAGGGAAAACACTCACATCCCTCATGTTCTGGTCTCAGACAAGGGGCACACCCTCTGCTGATAGCTGTGCTTGGCAATTGGTAATGTTCATGCCTTATCTTCACTTTTTCTGTGCTTTTACTTTTTGCATTGTCAATGGGTTAACCCTTAGTGACTTACTGATTAGTCTTTGTTTAGTCTTGACAGCATTTTTTTTTTTTTAAAAAAAGGATAAAAGTTTATTATCTATCTCAGAATGACATCTCACGGCCGGTTTACACCTATGTAAGGAGACTGAGAGACTGGCTCTAAACTACCCTCTCCATTCAATTGGCACTGGTGATTTCATGGCCAGTATGTTGGATTGTCTCACTAATTTAGCAGAAAACAAATGAAAATACTTTATATGTGTATTTATCTGCTTGCTAGGTTAATTTCCAGTCACATTAGAGAGCTAATCCATCTCACCAGGAGCACAGAGTACTGATATTCCTGTAAGAAGCACTAAAAATAATACCTTTTAAGAATATGAGCACCACATTACATGATGTTTCATCAGTTCTTAAATGTCTTTGAAGACAATTCAACTTTGAAGCCCCTTTTTCTCTTTAGCATCAGTAAATTTTAGAACTAGTATGACACTAAACTTGCATGGAAGAAGTGATAATTGCATAATTTACATAATTGGATTATTGCTGGATGCTAAAGTTAAACTTTTTGTTGTATGTATGAGATACATGATTTGAATGTCAGAAAATTACAGACATAGCTTAGAAACTGATGCAATTACTGTTGTTAAAATGGGAAAAATGTGTTTTCTACCAGTGCAGGTACTAAGCTTTTATAAAAACAAATTGAAAGAAAAGAATAAATGTTGGGAACCTGAGTGGGAAAAAAAAGGCTGTGACCTTGATCCTTTGCCTTCAGAATTCTTGTTGAGGTACAGAAATTTGGAATATAGCCTTGATTTAAATACAAAGTGATTTGTTCTAAAACGTCTGTAATAAAAGATCTACTACTTGCTTTGGCTCAACCACAGAATGATTTATTCAAAACAATTAATTAGTGCTTAGTAGCCAATCTTCTATCTCTTATAATCCTGTGAAAAATAATGACAATTTCTACAAAAGTAAATCTGCCCATTGCCACTTTACCGTATCCTTGCCAGTCAGATTCCAGTCCATAATTTGAAAAGGAATTATGCTAATTTAAAATTTGTAATTTTTATATAACTTCACACAGGTGTGAACATTTTTCTGGAGAATAAAAATCTATTAGCCTCTTGTTGATTTGGTTCTAAGATGCTGTTTGCCTACCTGAAAGATATGGCAGAGGTTCAGGAAAAGGTTTTCTGGAGTTTGCTGACAGAAGGTGTTGTGGTGACCACCCTCCGGGTGGGTGTGTCTGCCCACATTGTATTGGAAATCTTTCCACAGGTCTAATTCTCTTTTATTCAGTGTTGTATCACATAGTGATGGGAAGACATTTATATTCCATAGTTTTAGCTGCTAACAGTAAATAACAGTAAATACATTCACATTTCTCCTTCTTTCATACTTCCTGTGAGATACGGCATTTTTATACAAGAAAGGTATTCAGTGAGCCTAAATAAATGGACTTTAAAATGTGCTGGGGGGGCTTTCCTAACAAAGGACAGACTTGGACACCTGCCTGAATACTTTCCTGAGCAGCCTGTATGTTCCATAATGACATATTTTGAATGCTAGAAGCATCTTAATATTTAAAATTATAAAAACATGTAGCTGTAAACTTGTTCAAAAATAAACAAAAACTGCATTGGTAGACAAGATAAAATGTGGTGAATTTTGCCACTGCTGATGTCATCAGTGTTCATGTATTTTGTCTTTGATAATGAAGATTCAGTAACACTTGTCAAATTCTTTTTGAAAAGGAGTTGTATATTTTATCTTTATTCCCTAGTTTTCTGCAGGCCATAAATTAGGAGAAATGGAAGTAACACCAGTGCCACAATGGCTGCATGAAAGACACATGTATTATAGGTTACTCAATTTGAACTTATTTTCCAATTTCCGGTAAGGAAATGAAAAAAAAAAAAAAGTGGACTTAACCATTTACAGTAATAATTTTCAGGATCTTTTTATGATTAAATACCAACTTAATACTGTGTTAATCTCTGCATAGGCATTTTCAAGAATTACAATATCTAAAGACTGCTCAAGATCTTTTTGGTTCTTATGTCTAAATCATTAATGGAACCAAACATCCTCTTTTCTCTTTGGTTACTTTTTGTTTCTTCTTGTTTATTTATTTGACTGTAGAAAAAATAAGAATAGTAATATCTTCCTATGCACTCATTTTTAGGAGTCAAGTTAATTCTTCCATTTGTTCTCTTCCATGTTACATAGAATGTACAAAATAGCTAATAACATTCATCTTATATAGAATGGATTCAAGCAAATATGTGTTGTAAAATAGAAGATAATATTTAGTGGCTGGCTGTTTTGGAAACCAGTAAAAACATGATAGCTGAATTTTGATCTCTTGCTTAGACTAATATTAAACATCCACCTCCTAGACATTCATCTCAATATTTTACTTTTACTACTTTTTAGTGGGAGATACTTGTTTCTGGTTTATTTTTTACTTTCATGTAGAGAATATTGCTGGAAATGATTCAGTTTTGGTACTTGACCCAGTGTCTCATGTTGGATTTGTGCATGCAGGTTTTTTGTGCATGCATCAGTCCTCATAATTTCCCACACTTTTGAAAATGCATTTTATGTTTGCCAGTGCCACATTCCACATATAAAAATTAAGCAATGTAATCATTATCTTAGTTCATTACATTGCTCCACAAAATTCTGGTAACATTTGTTGTTACTTAATATACTTGTATATGTGCCAATCGGAGAACTAAAGATTGCTGTGATGGGAATATTTAGAAGACAGATAAGCCAATTTTAAACTTTTAAACAAAATTTTACTCAGCTGACATTCTTTAACTGTGCATTTTATGCTGATGTTCGGTTCATATCCATTAGCAGTCATTACCCCTCCACAGCCAGGTAATCCCTCACAATCTCTACCTGTGAGTGTGCAGTTCCACAGCGCTGGTGCGGTGTCTTTAGCAGTTCTTGACTGCCTTACCCACTGAGGTTGAGGCAGTACGAGTCAAAACCTGTCTGTCAAGGGAAGCTGAAACAATAATGAACGTATTGCATATCTCCTCCCTGCTCAACCACACTGGGGATCCTACCCATTTATAAATGTATTGTGTTTACATTGTTTCTAGACAATTGGTCTCTGCCTCTGGACTAGGTGTTGCAAAAGCTTAATGAATACTTTCCCAGCCTGCAGCAGGTTCATTATCCTGTAGCTTTGCTGTTTGTTGTTTGGTTTGGTTTTTTTCATTTCTCTGTTGATTTTCCTTAGTTAGTGGCTGTTTCTTTTCTTAAAGTAAAAGTAATGTTTGCCCAGCTTTGGGGATTGTGTTTCATCACTGCCCAGTAACTGAGTTATGGGTTCTGGGACCGTTTGCTTTCAAACTGTGGCCATATTTTCAAGGTTTTTACTGTTATCATGTGCTTAACCTACATCCCAACAATAAATGTCTGGTACCGAGGTCCAGTTTACAGGGGAAGTTTGCAGAACAAGTTGGTAACAAGCCTAACCAGCCAGGACTGGGGCTTGGTGCAGCTCACATAAGGCACAGTTAGCTTAAAGCTTCTGGCTTATTATTGACAGTGGCAATACTATTTTTACTGGGCACAAAAAAGCTTATGTAGTTATAGAACATTAAGGATGCTCCTGTTTGAGTTTAAAACAAACTAATATTAATGTTTGCTTAATGTACTTTTGTGGGTACAACAGGCCTCTTCTTTAGCTATACTTTTCATACATCTGTCAAGACAGATGAAGAGGTGTGGAGGCAATGTTTGGGTGCAGATTTAGAAAGTGGGAATTGGCTAAACAGATTTGCATCTGTCTCCCAACAGCATAAGTGCTGTTAATGAGCTGTTGCGACAGCAGGTGTGAAATTTACATGCATAAATAATTATTTCTGTTGCTTCTAGAATGAAGAAATGCTTTCTAGTCTGGAAAATCAGTGTTAGAAGAAGCAAGGCGAACAAGACCAGGTCAGTTTGAATGTAGGTTTTTCACGGGAAAGGAATTAAAGAATACTTCATCTCCTGCTGTACACTTTAAAAATTTGTGTCTTATTTTCCTTAAATACTTTATAAATCAAGAAAGACCATTATACAAATGCCAGATTACCTGTTGATAAAGCATGGAAGACTTACTCTAACAAAATTTTATGGTACCTTTATATTGTTGTGAAGGAGCCTGGAATTTTAATCTGAAGAAAGCTGAGCTTTAATTTGATGTTTGTCTGGTGCCAAGCACAGTGGGATTCTGCTTTATGACTAGGGATTTTCTCTATAAATGGGATGAAAATAATAATTAATAGAGTGTTATATTGTAAAATGAGAGTGAGTGCACCAAATCTAGGCTGAATATAGGCTGAGAGAGAAGAAGGAATTCAGTCTGTATGTTGAGGTGAGTAAACAAAATCCCATCACACTTCATCTATTCACCTTAAGGCCATCCTTTATTGGCGTGTAAATGTTTGTATTGTCTAGGCTTGATGATGAAAACCAAATTGTTAACTCTTCACAAGAGGGGTTTTTTTCCCCTTTTATGGAAATGTATCCTACAGTTAAGATTACTCTTACAGGTTTTTAATTAACCCTTGTATTAAGAAGAGACTTCTTTCTGGGCTTTATATCAAATGATTAGCTTTGTGCTGAGAGCATATGGATTAGGTCTTTCACTTGTACCTAGGCGTAAGGAACTGGGGAAGATTGGTGGCCTTTTTCTTCCCTTTGAACAGCCAAGTGGAAAAGGCATAAACAGTCAGGTAGTCCTTTGCCCATCTAATTTTAAAGCTACTGAAATAGGAAAGGTATTCAAGTAAACAGGGTTTTTAACTGCATAAAATATTAAAACTGTCATTTATGGCATGTATAATTGAAAATAATATATGATGAGTCAACTTCTGAAAAAAAAAACATGTTTTCTCTTTGCTTGGCATTAGTCAGAGACACGTTCATTAATTCATACATTAATGTTTAACAGATACAAAGCTCTTTTCCTAAAAGCAGATTTTTTGTAGGTGGCAAGTTCATAAAAATTCAGTTGGGACACTTTAAATGACCTGACTATAGAATATTTTTAGTATGTTTGTCAAAATCAGATTTGTCTTTGAAATGTTTTTATGTCCTGAAATCATACGACCTTAAACTGTAACCCTTTTATAAACTAGGATGTAGTCCTGATGTTCTCCACACTTCAGCATTTGAATAAATAAATGAAGGAGCTCTTCCTGTAAACAAAGACAGTGAAAAAGAGCATAGTTCCTACAGAGCCCATAAATTTGTTTTGCTGAGGTCTGGGGTTTGGTTTTATTCCTCAGTATTTTGCTGCTCACATAAATTTATTGGATCTTCATACAGGTAGGTTAGGGCAGGACACTTTTTCAAAAGGAAATCAGAGAAAGACTTCCAATGCTACGTTGACTACACAGCCTGTTTATGCAACTGATTTTTCCTAAAATGATATAGATCTCTATGTATTGAGAAAAGAAATTTAAAAGTTATTTTGCTGGATTTGTTCAAATTCTTTATATTTCTTAAATGTCGAGACAAAGAGCTCTGAAGTTTATGCAATAAATACATTTGGTTATGCTATTCCTTGCTTTAAAATAATTAAAAAGAATACCCCAAACATGGATAGTGAAATGCAAACACATTTGAACTGCACATTGACAGTTTGCTGTGTTTTCTGTCTTTTACACAAAGCTGCATGCATTGCTTCACACAAATCACAAACCCGAAAGAAACCAATGTTTTGATTTGCAGACCATGTAATGGCTTTGTTATCAAAAACAAGAGGTTGTGATCTTAGCCCACTATGTATTTATTCTGCCCATTACAGTGCTCCTTTTTGGTGTGTATTCCTCCACAGAACTTGAGCCTAAGATTTTGTGATCAGGAGCATCTGCTGAAGAGACACCTTCCCTTTGAATATCCCAGTGCTATCAGCCAAAGACATAAAACTAAGTGCTGCTTCTTACCACCTCACAAGTTCTTCCTGGTACTTGAAGTGACACGTTCTAATGGGGTTATTATAAAGGAGTTATCTGTTAAATAAAGGAATATCTGGTATCATTTTAGTTGTCCTAAATTCTCAGATTTTGGCTAAATCATGGTTTCAGTTCTTTATGCCATTGAACAATTGGTTATGTTCATCCAGACAAAATTGTCTAAGATTTATATAATTTACTTTCAAAGAGTAGAGAGCGTTTAAAGGAATCTTATGTAAAATAAAAAGAAAATAAATATTCTAGAAAAGACCAAGCACTCAGAAGTTCTCTGGACTTTCTAGGGTAGAACATAAGATTACGTCTCATGGAAAAAGTGCTATACCTAGTTTTTCAAGGATTGTTCAGAAGTATTAGAAACTTGTCCTTCACCTTTAAATAAATAATATACTTAGACAACAAAGGAAATCAGGAATGCCAAAACCAAAGCACCACTGGTTTCCTAGTCAACTCCTTTAGTGCCCTTGAGATCCAAGGTCCATAAATCTCCTACAGCCTGACTGGTCTGAGGGGCAGCTCAGCATGGACCCATGCAGCAGCTGACAATAAAAACCACCAAGACAATTATGTGGTATCTCCATCCTTGCTTGCATGTTGCTCTTGCAAGTGTGGTGAGACTGGTCCAAGTCTTGCTAATTCCACTGTTGATTACTGGAGTGCCGTTATTCATAGTAACCGCTCCAGCACTTTCCTATGACAGTCCATAATTGGTCACTGTTCCCCTGTAGTACTGCAACCAACCACATTCTGTTTGATCTGAGGACTTAATAGTAAGCATTATATTTCTTTTGTTTTTTTATGGTATCAGTGCTAAGCTCTCCTTTGCTTATATCTAAAATTATTTGTAGCCTGGTACCCAGTGTTGGTGTTAGGTGTTAATCCTTTTAGGGCATGAGAGAAACTCCCCAGCTTGCAAGAACTGTGTCAGTAACAAAAACTAGATCCTGGCCATGTTCTTCCCTTGACAACCCAGAGGGACTGATCCAGAACAAGTATAATTCAGCTGAATGAACACAAGAAAGGTGTCTTCACAGCGTTTGATAGCAGTCTGCATACTTGCAAGGCTACTATAATAACATCTGCTCTGGAGGTATGGGTTGTGGATAAAATCTTTAACCAATGGATATTACTCTCACTTCTGGTTAAGTAGATCATCTGTTAATGTGAACTTAACCAAACGTATCCTTGTTACTATGACAAACCTCTTTCTTCAGAAAGAGAAGCCAGCTGCTTTCAGATTTCAGAAAGAGCTTGCCAAATAGAGCAAAGCCTGACAAGTAAAAATAAAAACTCAAATAATAACAGGAGCTCTTTAGTAAGAAAAACTGCTAATAAGACAAAACAGTACAATTAGAAATATCAAATTACTGTCTTTCAGACAAGGTATGATTTTATCAATTGGGATTCCTCTAAGTTTTCACTTTAAAAATTTCCATAATATTTGAAGGTGAAATTAAGATTTATTATTACGGAGGAGGTATTTTCTGCCAGAAATAGTACTGGAGGAACCCATGCATGCGAATAACAAAATCTTCTGGCAATTCAGTCAATGAAGTTGTTCAGACCTTTCTGACACCATTTTTTCTGGTATGTCAGCAAAGATGAAAATAACCAAAGTTCCTTCATTTTGAAATCATAAGAGTATTGCGTACTTTTAAATTAATAGAGTTTAAGACCTATGAATATTTCTACTTAGTCTAAAATAAAAATAACACAAGCCATAGCCTTACTAGAGGCAATTCTTTTACTCCTCTAATAAGAACCAGATCAGGGAAGAAATAGAAGTTTTTTACAAATTTCTTTTCCTTCTCTGTTTACTGCTTTGTTGTATCACCAGTGTTCTAACAACTTCAGGGCAGTCAATTTGGTCATTCCAACTGAAAAATGTTATGAATTTTTCTGTGTCACTTCTTTTTTGGGTATAACATTTCAGGAACATAAACTGTTACTAAATGGACAGTCATTCAGTTGCTTTTCTTCCCCCACTTTCATCTTCATTCTTCATTCTTATTTAGAACTTTCTCTGCTCAAGTGTAAGGGTCTTGGGTATTTTGAGTTTTGAAATTGGGATTTGCCTTTTGGGGTGGGTTTTTTTGATTTTGGAATTATGTGTGTACTATCCCTAGTATACTGCATGCTATGACATTCTGGAGAGCTATTGTTTACTAATTTGCCCATACAGCAAAGTATTTAAATTACTTGGAATCCTTTATGTAAACACACCAATCGTGTTATAGCTTCAGTAAAGGACTTATGTGCAGCCCATGTCAACCACCCCTATTTTATGGTAAAGGAACAGAGAAGTGAAGGAAGAAGACTTGCTTTTTACATTGTTTGCTGAAGGTTCAGGGACATTCACAGTGCAACCACTATCCTGAAGGATGTTCCAGACCAAAATGTTAATTTTATATACAGAAGATACACAAAAATAAAATATGAGGGTATCTAAGAGAAAAGATATTTACTCTAAAGTAGCTGTAATTCCTTGAGAAAATTCCCCAAGAGGCAAGGCTGAAGCTTTTGCAGTGTGAACCCTCTCCATCTGGTTTGAGTAGCTCTACAGTAACTTCTGTTGTGATTCTTTACTATGAAGGCTGCAATGAAGGGTGAAAACAGTGTCTAAAACCATGACAAGATTGGGAACTACTTGTAGGGATAGATCTGTGTTACCAAAACAATGCATGTGATACAAGATTAAGAAATGCAGCTTAAGTGGCAATGGTACTTTAACTGTAGAATTATAATTTCAGAAAGTCTATATTAAAGCCCCAGAAGTGTGCACACTACTATATAACATGAAGCAATATCTGTCTTGATAAGATAACATTATAATAACAAAATATTGAGGGAAAACCTGAGAGGGAAGTAATACTAAAAATGTTGAATTCAGAAACCAAGAATTTTTAGGCAGGCTTTGAAAGAGTTTAAAACGATTGCACAGAATAACAAGTTGAATAAATGTAAGAAAATACAATTTTGTGCTCTTTACAGTAGTTTGCCTTTTTGATAATGCTATTTCTCAGAGCTGCAGTAGTTTAGAATGTGTTTATGTAATTGCTTGAAATTGAGTAGCTTATTCTATTGCATCTTATGTGTGACTGTGCGTGCTTCAAGAACATTGTAACTGCAAGTGGAATGTGTTAAAGTACTCCTTACCCTAACAAAATCCGAACAATCCTTAGGAGACAATTGGTTGCTGTCGAGTTAGACATTTTTATCGTACAGAATAAAACTCACATTTTTTTCTCTTGCAATGTTAAAATCACAGACAGCGAATCTTCTGTCTCTTAGTAGTTCAACGGCACTAGCAGAATCCTGTAGCAGACAGTTTATATTATTATCTTAGCATGGTGAATAGTGCTAACATTGCAGACATCAAAATCAACACTGCAAAAGGAAGAATCGTCAGAAGATTTCAAGAACATTCTAGTTAAGTATACAAATGCTATGAAATAAGTTGTAGAAACAACTACTGAAACGCATATCTGTATGGCCAAAATCAAAAGCTTTAATTGTCAGAAAAAGTGCCTTCTGTATTTTACAGCCCTCCATTTGGTTAATATAACACATTTATCTATGAATAATAAAACTGCAGGTATTAATTCACACCTCTTTCAGCTAAATGGATTTATCAATATTTTCTACTTAAATTTCTGCCAATAATGTAATGTGTATTAATATTTATTAACATATAAAATGCCATGAATTAGAGGCATGAGATCAGAAAAGACATAACTGAAAAATTTTTTCTTTAGTGCCTTTTTTGTTAAATCTTTTTTCTTCAAAGGAGGAGAAAAGTTTGGGTACTGGTTTGGGGTTTTTTTCCCGAACAATTTGTATCAGGATTTTTTTTCCTAGCAAAGCAGGTATAGAGGAGACTCCAGGCTAGACAGTAGGTCTGATATCTTAGGGTATTTATCTGTGGTTTGAGACGTCTGAGTTGAAATCATTGTTTTGCCTGATCCATTCATTTGGAAATTAAACAATTTCTGTTTGGAATTAGTAATATTTCTTGGGTAAGTCTACCTACTGTTTTGAATGTAGACATGAGCTGGTTGTATCCATGATTTGAGTTAGTAAGATGCAGTGCATCAGAAATTTTTAACATTTTTTTTCTATTGGTTTGTTGGTTGATTGTTTTCTTTTTTCCAAAACGGAATTGTAAGGGACTGCTGGATGATTTTACCTAATTCATTTCAGATTTGTTTCAAGACATTGTTTTCAATAAAAAAGAAGGGAAAAACTTGTGATGGATGTTCTTGCAATGACACCTTAATTAATATTGGCAATCTGTCTTCAGGCTTATGTTGGCACAATATTACTTTGACCCTACAGGTGGAGGGAGGACTACAAATTGAAAGATTTTGGGGAAAAATCATTGGTACTTTTACATATTAAAGATTTTGAAAAAAAAAATCAGGTGCTGGGCTTGCTTTGCACATAAGGTTTTGGGGATGTTTTCTACTTATAGTTTAGTTTTAAGAGAATGACTTTGCAGAAAAAAATATTTCCTACTTTATGCAGAATTATGAAACAAACTTCTAAAAGTAAATAAATTAACATGTATTTATATGAGTTTTTCACTGAACAATAATGCTAAAAGTGCCACACTGGCATCTCTTTATGGTTAGGATTCCCATGCAAGCATTGGCCCATATAAATATAAATCAATTCCCTGTGATGGTTCTGATTAGGAAGGTAGGTTAAATAGGGCAGTGAATGGAAAAACAGTGAGCAGGGACCAACATTTTTAGGAGATCCTGGAAGATGAAAGTGATACTGATCTAGTGGGGAATCGGGGAATCTGCAAGCATTTGCCAAATGTGAATCAGAGGTTACATATATATATATGTGTGTGTGTATATATACATGCACACACACACATATACACACACACATACACACATACATACATACATATACATACATACATAAGAATTTGTTGCCATGCAGAGATTCTGCATGAGGATCTCCTGTAATGGAAAGAGCAGTTTCCCAAGTGAGGTGTGCTGCGTGGACTGTTTCACCAGCATCAGTCCTGGAGCTCGAGACAGGCGTGATTCTACATGTCACTGTTAGTACAGGCATTTCCTAAAGTGATATCTTGTAGATTACACATCTTGAACTACAGTTGCCTCGAGATTAATAGTCGGGTTTTGTCCTTGATTTTTAAAATGTCCAGGGACGTTTTGTTGTCAAGGACTTGGCATATCAGTGCACTTGGTAAGACTCAGCTGTGGCATCAAAATTGTTCTTCTTGTCAACACACTTTAACCTTAAGAAAGAGCTATTTCAGTCCTAGAAGGTATTTCTGCTACATTTGTGGATGATTTTGAACAAGATGTGAAAGTTAAGATAAAACAGAACAGATAGCAGAAATCAGCTGCTATTTTTGTAAGAATTATTTTTGAGTCCTGCATAACTTAATGTTGACTTGTTAACTGGATTAGCTATAGAAATTTTGCAAGCTTGATCAATTTAAATCTATTTTCAGCTATCATATGAAACAATTTTGGAAGTTGCTCTTCCAAATAAAAAAATAATCTTATAAATTAACCTATTGTGTCACCTAATATCTATTGCACTTTTATTATTTATTAGAACGGAATCAATATTTCATCTTCAGAAAGCTGCAGATACCTGTTGCGTGTTGCATTGTGCATTTCTAGGCTTGGATGCAGAGGTTGCAGTTATCTAGATATCTGAACAGCTTCCTTCTTACACAAAACAGATGTAGAAATGTTTCTGCTTTCTGAGGAGGAGTGCTAAGATTGACTGTAAGGGTTCATTTTGTTTTCTTTCTGAATCTCAGTGTTGCTGGGTCAGACTTGAGAGCTTGTTTTAATTATGGCACCTAGTAATTTAATTATCAGCCTCCCCAAAGTCTGCTGTGCTTTTTGCAACCCTAAAATTCCAGAATCTGTAGACATGCTCCAGATAATCCTGTTCTGGTCCAGCAGATTACCTTTGCCAAAATTTGTTAAAAAAAAAGAACTTCAGAAAGGTTTCTGACTGTATTATTTCTATCACAGGGGAATTTCCCACCCTCAGTTGAGGTTAGGAACTTAAATCCTTTGCTTGCCACAACCGTCTCGTTTGGTATAAATAACTGTAATGAGAATAAGAAACTTCTCTTGTATAATCATTTGGAAACTTCAGCAATAGGCAATAATTTCCAGGTTTCCAGTCTTCAAGGAAATCTCTAGAAAGGGTGCAAATTTCTGATCTAATAGCTTATGCAGTAGAAAGAAAATTTCAAAATGTCTGACAATGAGAAATACATACATCTGCTATAACTTTTCCTGATGATGAACTTTCTTGTGATGTTAGTAGTGGGATCTTAAACATGGACATTAGAGTTGTGGTTTACAATTACCAGTTCTTGTGCTGGTTGTTTCTAGGGTGTGATAGATATTTTTGAAAATCAAATTGTTAAATTTATGCATAGGGAGAAAAAAATAGTGCTTTTATCTGTGTCTCAATAAAAACCAAAATTAATAATCACAGTACTATTAAAGAATGCAATGAAACCTTTATTTGCATCTTGCTCATTTGCAAAATGTTTCCTTGACCACGCAGTTGTGCCTGTATGGTGACTGGATATAAATATGCTAGAGCTTACTCGAGCTGTATGGAAAGAGAAAGCATTATCTAACCAAAATTAACAATTCAATTGCAAAGACTAATAGAGTTTGCATCGTTATGTTTTTTATTATTTTTTTTTTCTATTAAAAGATATATTCTATTTGCAGGCCAAAATTAGCAATCCTAGTCATGCTATATAACCTTTTCCATCTCCAATAGTTATTTTTCTTTGCCATTTGACAGCTGTAGCTCACAAGGTGAGGGAAAATACTTCTGGCAAAAATGCTAAAATAAGACATTCAGAAAAGTTTGACTCTGCAGCCTATCCTTCTAAATAATATTTGCATATTCTGAATTGTGCACAGGGTGCTTAATAGAAACATGGTTAACTGGGACAGAGCGTAACCTTTCTGTCTTCAAGTCATAGAGTACGTGTCTACTCAAACTGCAGGTTCCTTTGTACTGTTTGAGAAAAGGGAGTTTTCTCAAGTCTCTGCAGTAAATAGCTGGTGAGCTCTGGCAGCTGGGTCAGTACCTGAGAATATTCTGGAGAGAAGGCTTAGTCCAAGCTTGGACTACCCAGCAGTGAAGTGGATGAGAGCTCTTGGTCCCAAGCCATCCATGCATTGGTCATTCCTTTTGTGCTCACAACCATTAAGCAGGAGGTTGTCCACTGATATGTTCTGGCTTTGAAACAGTATCCTTTATCTGGAAGAAGATGATTTGAGAACTTTTTAGAACCATAAATATGACTGTCCTGTAAACTGTGCACCAAATTTGACAGGCTACCTACTGTAGATCTGTGCCAGAAGACTGGATGGCAGATACTGGATCTATGTGAAAATTACTGATTTCCCTTTCCTGTGCTTCCCCCTCACTTTGGTTAGTAACTGCAGCAGCGGAAGGGTCAGAGTCACCTGAGAGTGACTCAGGCAACCAAATACACTGGATTTATTCTTTTTGTTTCTTAAGTTCAGACTCGCAAGTTATCAAAAGCTTTTTGTCAGATCTGAATTTAATGTCATGACATTTTAAGGCTATATCACTGAGCTCCAGAGACAGCTCTCCTAGCTTTCTCTTCCACCTCCCTTTCAGGCTGTGATAGACACTGATTACAGTCTCTTGTGTGTTGGAGGTAACAACTGTATACCTGGCAAGTCTAGCGCTCTGTCATAGGATTCTTGAAAAATTGCAGACAGTTCTTGTCCCTTCAGAGGAACTGAGTTTTTTCAGTGACAATTCAAATCAAATTGTCCTGTTTGTATAAGTAATTGCAGGCATCTTACCCTGAACTATTTCCTGCTATTTGAGTCCTCACACTCAGATGTCTGCAATACCTTTTCATTCTGGCATCTCTGCCATCACAGCCCTCTCACCATCAGAAACTTCAAGGAGAAAGCAAAATCAAAGCCCCTGCCAGGCTGTTCTGGCTTCTTCTGCTTCAGTTAATCCCATCTTTCTTTTTCCCTACCTCAAGGTATGATTACTGCCATTATCTTCTGACCCTGATAGATGATGTGGTTTCTTCAAGAGACCTTGTCACTCTACAGTACTGAAGAGACTGTCTCAATTTATGCATTGTGATGTCCTCCCAGCCCTTTCTCACTGATCCAGGTCACTGATGATTGATCCCTTGGTCTTTGAATTAGGTACCACACAGGCAGCTTGAGAATCTAGGACATGCAGGAAATAAAGGAGAGGAGCCTTAATATCCAGATATCCTTAATATTGTTAATATCTCATCCAGAGCTCAGAACATTGAGAAGTCAACAGATGAGTCATACTTTGATACCTTAAATGGAGAAGCAGAGTGGGGAAAAGATCCTTTGCTCTCTCCTGAAAAGCTGTTGGTTTGTTGGGTGACGTCTCAGGTTTAGGCTCTCAACAGTCTGCTTCACCAGCAGCATGAAGCATGTTGACAAACAGCCTGAGCTCATTTCAGATCATTAACAGAAAATAAGAGACGATGTTTCTTAGGAGATTTTTAAAAAACAAGTGTATTTTCAGGGACGGCTCCTTCCATGAGATATGTTAACATAGAGAGGAAGACTCAGTGCTATAACTTACATAATTTATGTCTATAATGTTATGACTAATAAACTTGGATCCTAACAAGTCTCACACATAAATAGAAATACTGACAGTAGAAAGTGATTCACTAGCTATGATGAGCTCGCAATAGTGAAATAAATTCTTTTGATATTATTCTACCAAATCTAAGCCCATGCTTTAGATCTTGATTCCTCTCATGTTAGACTCACTGCTTGGCCTGGAAGAATTTAGAATGTCTATGAACTTGGACTGCATTTAGTTAGCATAAACCTCTGCTCACTAGCACTCTAGTGAGATTCTGAAATCCTCCTTCCTTCTCCATTCTGGTTTTCTTCAATTACATTAGGACTTGTGAGGATGTTTCCTTTCACCCAATATCTTATTGCTGAGTAGTTCTTTATGTCCTTTTTTAATTTCGGCTAGTGGTGTTATAATTATTGCAGCTTTTTTTTTTTTCCTCTTCCTCCAGACTTCACCATTTCAAGGTGGAGAAATTGCAAACTGTAAACATAAAGAGGAGTTTAGCATTTTACGTACAAGGTCAAATCTTTTCGATGCTGCCCCAAATCTTTTAACTTAATTGATAAAAATCCAAGCTATGTTTGT